TGAGTAAAATATTGGTGGCGACTCCATGAACCTATTTTCAAAACCATTAATTAAGGATTAGTCTGGTGTTCGGGCATTCCTTAATTAATGAGACTTTTAAAAAGATGTCTAAACCATAGGTCGCAAGATCGGAAATTTTCGGGTTGCGACAGATGGCGACTCCACTGGGGACGTTTAAAGAGGGTCAGGCCCATTTAATTGATGAAGTTAATAAAATAAAAATAATAATTTAAATATTTTTCCCCTTTACTTTATTTGTTTTATTTGTTTGGCTTTAATATTTGTTTGTTTGTTTATTTAAATTTTGCACCTGTTTGAATAAAATTGTACACAAATCTTTGCACACAACAGTTCCCCCTACACCCGGGGGCATGAGGGTATTAAACATAGGGAGTGGTTGACGTACGACCGGCCCAAGTTTGGCCTTGGAGCCTGCGAGCCTTGTCGGAAATCACACTCAAGGTGATAACCGGTTACTCTAGCCCGAAATACTGCGACAGACCTTAGAGTTTGCCAGGTGACGGCGACAGAGATACTGGGTCCCTATAATGGGGGCACCTTGGGAGCCTTGAGAACCAGTGAGATTAGAACTGTCCTATACAATGCACTTTTCTTACAGGGACCACAGACCAAGGATTTGAATACGATCGTTCGTGGGAGTATATTGATTGAGCATGTGTGTGTGCATTTGTTTGTATTATTTCTTCTAATAAGAGTGGATTGGAATTTTAAAATAAGCAAATAGATAATAAAAAAAATAAAATAATAATAATAATAAAATTTTATACCCCTTTGTACATTCTTAGGTCATCATTCCATTAACATCATATAGATAGTTTCCTTTTTTTTAAAAAAATGAATAAAAGAAATCACATCTTTACCATGCATCATTTCTCTTTAGATAATAGAAACATGATAAAGATTAGGCAAAAAAAAAATGACATGCATTCTAGATTAGCTCATTAATTTCATTCATTTTATTTTATTAGCTAAGGAGGATTAGGTTGCAGTACGTATAGAAATTTATGAAAAGTGAATGCTCTAATATGCGACAGTATATGCGCTTTAAAGAAAAGCCCAAATTAATTAAAATAAATACTATGGTTGGGCTATTGCTTTGATATGTTTGTTGAAGTAAGTCTTCTGAGAATCTACTACAGATTCTCGCTCAATACTGTCAAAATTTATTTGAGCATTCACAAATAAACAAACCTAGTGCTACAACAATTGCAACACAACCCACTATCCACAATGAGAGAACAAGCTTTATCTAAAATATTACACCTTGTGTGAAAAATGTTCTCTCTTTGGGAAGCATGGGATTCACTAGGTTGACTTCCTAAAAGCCTCCTAATCATCAAAAGTTGACCATCATAAGGATAAGCATTTTCAATTTGATGGTCTTCATCACTAGATTCACTATCACTTGTAGTAGTTGAACTAGATTCATCATGACTACTATAAATGTCTTGGCCTCTCAAAATCATGATTTTCTTGTTGGGACATTGAGAAGCTATGTGACCTCTTCCAAGACATTTAAAGCATTTAATGTCACTAGATTTACTACTAGAAGTGATAGTATTTTTATTTTTTTTTCTTTTTCACTTTCTTTTCCTTTTTCTTGACCTTTGCTAAAGTTTTTAAAGGAGTCATATTTGGAAAATTGACTCTCCCTCTTGTAGTCTTGTAGAAACCTAATTTCGTCCAGGGGCACACAAACAAGGAAATGGACCTCCGTTATAAAGGGAAACAACTTCTGAAGTAGGCAAACAAGAAGACAGGACATCAGAAGGCCTAAAGGCCAAATAAGGTAGTTTTAGTAGCCTGGAACAGGCTGTTCCAAAATCAGAACAGCCCGTTCCGAACCCCGGAATGGGCCGTTCCAATATCAGAACGGGTCGTTCCAACGTGATTAAAACACCTAAAAGTGATAGGCTGGAACGGGACGTTCCAATACAAGAACGGGTCGTTCCAAACAAGTCAAATTTGGAACGGGCCGTTCTGGAAAGGGCAACCCTGTGTTAATTTTCACTCTGGAACGACTCGTTCCAGGGTGCGAAATTTGCACATAATGATTGGCCCAGAACGGGCCGTTTCGAACAATTATTATTTTAGCGACCGATTATTTGCCACTAAAAATTCGGTGGCTAAATTGGTCGCTAAATAAAATTTGCAACCAAAACATATTCGGTCGCTAATTATGTCGCTATTAGCGACGAAAAAAAAAATTGATCGTTAATTTCGGTGGCTAAATTGACTTTTTTTTGTAGTGAGACTAGAACGCAATAAAAAACATAAACTACTATTTGTGGCTCATACACTAGGCGTGGCTTGAGTCACATTGGATGTGAGAGCTCCATCAACTCCTTGGTGTTTATTTGTCAGGTGTGAGTGTAGTCAGACTAGGCAAAGGACCTCTAGAAAGCAACATATGCTCTCTATGGGTCTTGCGCCAAGCATAGGGTGTCCTTTGTTGGACGCTACCTTGCATGGTGAATGAGTACTTATACCATGATGTGTTGGAGTTATTTGGAGGTATCTAACTAAGAGTATGATCCATGATATTGAGAGTAATAAGATAATGAATAAGTGGTGAATTATATAAGCAATTTAAGGGTAAATCTTAATTATCTTGCTTACCTTTTGAGGTTATTTAATAGTGATGTATGGTGCTCATATGTGTGGACTATGTGATGGTCACATGATGTGAATTCTAAGCTGAGACTTAGTAGGGATAAAGTTTGGACTTGACTGTCTAGTAGTGATATGTGAATGAAGTGGCTGGTGATGAATACATTAGGTCTTATGTGACACGCATCATGTGTATAAAGTATTTTGTATGAAGGGTACAATGTGGAATATGCTAGTAAGGAATGCCCTTTGTGTGAGCTTGGGGATTCATGACCTTAGGGACAATTAGGTTTAGGAGCCCCAGTTTCCCTATTTGTGTGGATGGATTAAAACTTGACCGACACCACTGTCCTGATGCATGCTAGTGTATCTCCTCCTAGTGTAAAGTATTGTGATAGACTAACCTTGACATGTTCTCATAAACTACTCTATGTGTGCCTTCAGGTAAGGATAACATGTTTTACTGACATTGCAAACATATAGACTAGTGAAGCTTGTGTCCATTGCATCTGTGCAAACCATGAATCATAAATATGTTAAGTTGTTCTTAAGTTATAATTGATATGAATGTTATGTTGTTTATATGTATATGTTTATGTTGCTATGTATGTGACTATCTAGTTATATCTCACACCGGTAACCAAAGTAAGACGTTTCTCATTCCCTTTTTTATTTGTTGTGCTTCTATGTATGTTTGTAGGCGAGGATCATCTAGTTGATGATACTAGTGATGAGGCTGAGGCATTATGAGGTGCTAATGGATGGAGCTCTAATAGAATGTGACATTACGATTCTTAACTTAGGATTTCATGTTCTTTAGTCATTGTTATGTTTAGGATTCATGTTGGTTCTTTTGGTATTGTTATAGCCTTTTGTTAGCCACTTGTTTTCCTTTGGTGTTTCATTAGTATTTGTTCATGTTTTAGACAAATATGATTTTCTCTATTCCTAAAGGTTTCATGAACGGACGTAATTTATTAAAGTTATTTCAAACATTTTGTTATCCCTTTTATTGTTAATATGTATATTAGTATGTTAGGTAGATGGTGTCACATTGTGTAAAGTGACCATGAAATTTGATTCACAACTGAATTATCTATAACCATAATTTCAAGCTAACAACTATCTTGATAAATGGAAAATAATTCCTTATGAACATTAGTAGTATGTATTTGTCTATAACCATAATTTCAAGCTAACAACTATCTTGATAAATGGAAAATAATTCCTTATGAACATTAGTAGTATGTATTTGTCTATAACCATAATTTCAAGCTAACAACTATCTTGATAAATGGAAAATAATTCTCTATGAACATTAGTAGTATGTATTTGTTTTTAGTCCTACCATGGGTATTCCTTAAACCATTGGGCTAGAGATTAATATCATTCATATATAGTAGTGTGATTATCATTGGCATGACAAGTTTTCACTTACGGAATACATTAAATATGGGTTCTCCACTAAATAAATTGTCCCTATAATATATGAGTGTAGAGTGCCTAACTACTACATTAACCCTTTGTGTTACATTAGTAGTATCTAGTATGTCTACAAACAATATTTACATATTATTTTTTTATATAAACTCTTAATTTTAACATTATTAAATAATGGTTACTGTATATATATAATTAAGCAGATCCATATACCAGTAGGGTGTAATGAGGTTGGAATAGTAGAGTCCTATGTTCAGATTCTGGTGTCGTTATCGTAATTTTGGTGGATAAAAAAAAATATCGATGTAACTCACTTTGTCAAGGCCTGTCAGCGTAGCTCACGGATCTATCGGAGACGACATTCTGTGCTAATTAATTAAGGCTATGATTTTGATTTGATTGATAGTATTTGATAATGATACAAGCTAGTATCGTCTAGCACCTCACATTCAGGGAAGTGTCCATCTTTGGATTTTTATTTGTCCATTCACATAAGGTGGCGCTTGAAATTTTCTCTGTTAGAAGCACACTTGGGGACTAGGGTGTGAAATTTCAAAAGGCATATTCACAGAATCACAGCCCCTGCATCACCATGTTAATTTCATAACAATTCAAACAGGCCAGTGGTGCTAGGAAAAATTGTTGCAATGTAGTAACAGTCAATTTGATCTAGCTTATACAGGAACGATTGTTCTTGTTTTGCAAGTTCATTTTAAGTTTAGAAGGGAGGCAATTCCAGTGCCTAATATAATATTCAACATGTTCCACTCCATTTCACCTCAGCTTGTTCCTTATTTAATCAAATTAACGATAGCATGATAACATGCAAGGACGAAAACACATAGCCACAGTGGATGACCCCTAAGATGCAGGGTTTATAGTTTATACCCATGTCATGGTATAAATACATAAAGGTTTTTATAAAATAATATATTTTCTTTTATCCTATACGGAAGGTAATCCTATTTGACCAATGTAAAATTACTATTGTTGACAAACTCTCTATTTGAGTTTTTAATACATTGAATACTTAAAACTCAGAAGCTACTGATTAAACTAAAACAATTATATATCAGTTGGTGCACATGTTCACCAATATTTTAGAAAATAATACAAAATAACATTCATAATAAAATAAGTATAAAAATGAATACATGGAGGCTTTTACTAATAAGATTTCTTGCTCATGTTCACATATGTAGAAGCTCGTAGCTACAAGAACTCTATTAAGAGACTGGATGGAAGCGGTACATGAAAGCTTAGCTTGCCATTCTACGATTTGTTTAGGCCTGATCTTATCTTCTTCACTGTATAAGTATCAGTCTTGAAAGCCTTGGCAAGGATTACATCATCAATTCCTGTACTAAAGATTGAAAGGGGTATTGAAACTGTTCCTGCATTTGCACTTCCAAAAGCAGATATAGCAGTGGCTGAAACTGATTGTGGATTATACTGATAATGTATCAAACCTTTAGGAAATATGAACACATCACCTGGTTTGAGGTTTTGAGTGTAAAGTGTGCGTTTAGTGTCAACAAATCCTACTTGCAAGGAACCACTTACAAGGAACAGAAGCTCAGCTGCACGAGGGTGGATATGAGGAGGGTTGATGCTACCACCAGGGTACTGAAATATTGCATATGATATACTTTGTCCATTAAGAGCAGGAAATTCTACCAAGGTAACTTTTGTGGCCTTGAAAGATAGTGGAATTTGATCTAGAACTCCTCTTAAATCAGTGTAAGTAAAAAAGCTTCCATTGACACTGTAGTTCTGTGGTGAAGCAAAGTCATATATGATATCTGGATCACCTGCCACTGCTAGAGTGTTGCTGAAGGTATCCAAGGCAGGCACTAACAAGTGAAAGAGAATATATATTATGGAATTCAGTGTCATGGTTTGATTAGCTGAAGCAGAGAAAGAAGGTTGATGATTCTGGTTTTGGGTGGTTCTTAATTAGTTTGAGACGAACAATTTCTGGCTTTTATATGTCCTTTCCCTGACTTCAAATCACAATTATTCCGGTTGTTGAGTTGTGTTTTGTTGTGGTGTATATGATTTGAGGCTTTGAATCAACTGGGCCATGCTTTCTTGTGTGCAAGCCTCACAAAAAAACAATGCTTTTCTGAGTCGGAAACAATTTTGGATCGAAGAGTTTTAAGCCAAGTGATTTTACGATAGTGACGTCTTTTCAATGGTCGTTTTCAATGCTACAATACATCTTAAAAATTACATTGATCTATGAAATATATAGTTTGTAGACGTGGAACCATAAAATACCATTTCGCAAAGTTATCCCTCTACTCACTAGTCACAGAGGAAACAGTTTCTCTTGATTCAGTTCTCACGTTGCTAGAATTAATCAATGTAGCAAAGATGCTTTGATTGCATTCAGATCATCAAACTTGCATTGAAAAACAGAAACTAAAACCAAGGTAAAATTTCAGCATATTCATCCTAGTTTCTGAATCTAAAACTTTTATATATCTATCTATATACATTCCTAATTTCTGAGCCTTTATCATTAGTATTTCTCTCTTAACAATTAAAGAAACGTCTCAATCTGTATTGGGAAAACTCTAAGTTCTACGTCGACTAGAGATTAGGCAATTACTTAGTATATAAGTAGAAAATAACCCTCACCTTACAAGTCAGTTTTGTAAGGTTGAGTTAGACTTAAATTTACTATTCTAAGATGGTATTAGAGCTATCCTAAATCCTTAAAATGGGTCTCCTATCCTAAATCATTCAAAATAGCTAGCCACCATTTATAGCTGTATTGGAAAAAAAATCAAGTCCCACATCGACTAGAGATTAGGCAATTACTTAGTATATATAAGTAGAAAGCAACCCTCACCTTATAAGCCAGTTTTGTAGGGTTGAGTTAGACTTAAATCCACTATTCTAAGAATCTGAGTTAGGCTTAAATCCATTATTACCCTCAAAGTTCTGGGACCATACTGTAATAAGAGGTATTTTCCCATTTTCTCTATAAATCTGAACCAGTTTCTACCAATCTTGGAGCTGTGAGTCTCAAGTCTCAAGTCTTGAAAATTTAAGGAAAAAAAGCCTATTGGTGGCTGTTAACATGGAGCAGCATTTTGAGGCCTTTGGCATAAACCTTAGTTGAGATCTTAATCCAAATTCGTGGACCAAGCCCCACTTGATTAAAGAAAAGAATAAAGATTTTAAAAAATGAAATGATTTTCAACAGAATGGAATGGAGCAATGGGAACTCGTCAAAATTGCTGCAGCATTGACACTATTTTATGGGCAAAAATACCGCTAGAAACTGAGCATTAAAGAAGAGTGGAGGTAATCACAGACGGATTCTAAATCTATATAACCACCGACTCAACTATGAGAATTTTGGACAATGAGACTAATCAATCCATCACTCTCAAAAAGTTTTAATTGCCATCAATTTGGATTTATCACAAAACAAATATGAATATATAATAAACTTATTAATTACTTTAAAAATATTTAAATATTATTTTATTAATTAAAAAAACTGAATATTTATACTGACAATGCATTAAAACTAAATTATAATAAATAACTATACACAATATAAATCTTTATTTATATATTTATAATTTATAATAAATAAATATTTTCAAATATATAGATTATATTATAATTAAAATTGTAATAAAAATATATTTTTAAGTTTATAAATTATATTATAGATTTCTAATAGATGATTTATATTAAATTTAAATATGTTTTTATCTCCTTGTAAAGTCAACGAGTTGTGGTTTCGATTTTATAAATTTTTTTTTTATTTTTATAAAATTTGTAAAAGTTATTCTTTATTTTTGTAAAAAAATTTATAAAATGAATAAATTTTGGTTTTGATTTATATAATATATATACTCATTTAAAATTTCAAGACCAAAACTTACAACTACAAATATGTGTCTTATTCATGAATTCAAATATTTATTATTCATAACATGATCATATTAGTTAATTAATACCACTACAATAACTTACTCATCATAATAAAATTAGAAATTGTAACAACCCGCCATGGTCTCTACACTTAGTGGAATCGCACTACTACTAGTGAATTAAGATAAATATTAAATGTGACAGCTCATACATACATGGTATATAAAATATAATAATAACTAAGTTTTCTAAAAATAAATTATAACACTATATATGTACAGTCATCCAAAATAATATTCTCTAGTGCCGGTCAAGCACAACAACAGTTATCCTAGCAGGTAACTCTAACACTAGGACAAAACTCCTCGTCTGGCAGCGGAGCTCAATTCCAAGCTAGCCCTAATCTGCTTCTATACAAAGTATGATTATCACAATCCATCCACATAGAAACAGAAGGGTAAGCTAGAGTTCAAAAAGCAATCATACAAGTACAAAATAAAATCTATACTACACATGCAACCAAATCAAGTCCCAAAGGAACTTCCATCTCAATCAATCATTCATTCATCAAACATGAAGTCAAACACCATACACTTCACCATCATAACAATCATGCAATACATGCAACTCATCACAGATATCAATGCATATCAATCATCTAATGCATTGTCACACATATACCTAGGAGATCTCCCTAACAGTAGAGCAGTGTAAGTGACATCCCAATCCTACCGAAACCACCCCAACCATTTTCACGCCCAATGCTCCCGCTCGGTCACAACTAAACAGGATAAAAATTCTCACTCGGGTTTACTCAGATGATGTCACTTACACAATTGGAAGTTTGGATCCACCGTCAAGTATAACACAATTGGGCACAGGCTTACCATGACCTTGGCATGCATTACCAAGTCACTTGTGGAGTTCGCCCACCGACTATTCGCAAGGATCCATGCACCTTCCCTAGTACTTAGTTAAGGGAATAGCCCTCGAACTCATACTCCGCTCCAACACTAGCTAAGGACTTAGAGGAGACTCACCCAACCTAGTGGCCTACCTGAGCACCACTCTCACCCAAATCCAGTGGCCTATCTGAGCACCACTCTCATATATCAGCGACCTATCATAACACCACTCTCAAGAAACTCTATGATGACAAAAGATGAAGAAGCGAAAGAACTTGCTCCTTGATACTTCACCAACTCTCGGATCTTCTTCTTGAGGTGACTCACGAATGTTCTTTTTCAAATGATGAACAAGTAGAAGACACTTTGATCAAGTTCCCTAAGCTAAGAAGGAAGCATCCAAGCTAGGGAATCAAAGGAAAATCCCACGGTCAAGCTTAGGAAAGATGATTTTCCTAAGGCTAAGACTAAGGAGTTTTTAGGTGACTTTGAGAGGGAGAGACTTGGCTGAAAATTCATAAATCTCTATTTGCATTCAAAGTGAATTATACAAAGCCTAAAGGATCCATATATAGGTGCGGATGGACTCATAATTGGCACCAATCCTTAGTAGATAAATTGGTGCCAAGTTTGAATTTCAAATTTGAATTTGAAATTCAAACCTTGGTTTGCCATGTGCCTAATTTGAATAACACCTCATCTAAATGTAATTTAGAGGTAATTTGGGTTGAATTTGGGGATGCACATGTTCAGCCACATCCATGCCTAGTCATGTGATCCAAATTCAAGCCAAATGACTCCTAAATGCAATTTAGAAGAAACCTAATACACCTATTAATGAATTCCTTGCATAGTCATATTCTAATGGCCTAAATACAATGGACAATCAAATACAATGAAGAGGAAAAATTACAAGAATGAAAATGAGCTCAATATTGGGTACCAAAAGCTCAAAGGCCCATGGAGCCCAAAAATAGGCCCAACAAGCCTAAAGCCCAAAAGCCCTATACTAATGGTCCATAATACAAGACCAAACAAAATGAAATTCTCTACTACTAAACATGTAATTGAAGGTGGTCATCCATGCAAAGCCCAAGTGAAGAGTACCCTAGGCCCACCAAGCCCATTAGGCTCACCAAGCTCTGAAGCAGTCAAATCTTCTAGTAATCTTCTAGCCATAGCTCTAGTGATTGGACCTTTGGTCCATGCTCTTCCATCATCCCTTCCCTCTTGAGAAGGATTCGTCCTCAAATCTAAGGAGTCATCCTCATCTTCACTAGCCCCTACAAAAGGTTTCAAATCACTGACATTAAAAGTTGGGCTCACACCATACTCAGAGGGTAAATCAAGCCTATAAGTGTTATCATTGATATGCTGTAGGACTTGAAAGGGTCCATCTCCTCGGGAACTAAGTTTGGACTTCCTTTGTTGTGGAAAACGTTCTTTTCTTAGGTGAAGCCAAACCCAATCACCTTCCTTGAAGATCATTTTTCTCTTGCCTTTATTATTGGACTTAGCATATTTCTCATTTTGCTATTCTATATGAGTTTTAATCCTTTCATGTAATTTTCTAACAAAATCAGCTCTTGAAGCCCCTTCTTTATGAATAAAATGATTAATATTAGGAAGGGGTATCAAGTCCATAGGCGTTAAAGGATTAAAACTATATACAGCTTCAAAAGGAGAAATATTGGTAGTTTTATGGACCACCCTATTATAGGCAAACTCAATTTGTGGGAGATACTCATCCCTAGATTTGTGATTACCCTTCAAAACATCCCTAAGCATAGTGGATAACGACCTATTAACCACCTTAGTTTGTCAATCAGTTTGCAGATGGCAAGTAGTAGAAAAGAGGAGGTGAGTTCCTAGTCTTGACCACAAGACAGGCCAAAAATGGCTTAGGAATTTAGTATCTCTATCAGACACTATGGACCTAGGAAGACCATGAAGCTTAACCACATCTCTAAAGAATAATTTAGCAATGTTGCTTGCATCATCTATTTTGTGGCATGGAGTAAAATGAGCCATTTTACTAAAGTGGTCCACTACCCCAAAAATAGAATCCATGCCCCTTTGGGTTCTAGGTAACCCTAGCACAAAGTCCATGATAATATCTTCCCAAGGGGCAGAAGCAATAGGTAAAGGTGTATAAGTGCCATGAGGCATAACCTTAGATTTG